GGACCGTATTTGTTTCAATACGTGAACAGGTGGATTGTTAAACGGGCCGCTTTCAAGGAATTTAATCTTAAAATTTAGGGACACATTTATATGTGAACGCTCCAAAATTTGAAGTCCGGCTCTGGCTGAAGCCGTACCTCCGTTGCGAAGGGTTCGTAATGGTTTTATTGCAGGTAGCGGTCCAAAGTACTAAGACCCCTCATAAAGTAATTGACGGCGTTTGCAATTATCTTTCGTAGTACTTTACAGGAACTGAAATAGCAATTTCTTGAAGGCGACCGACGGTTGAGAAACCCTGGAATCTGTCACTGTTCAGGAGGGTTTATGGCTTAAGCGAACGGAGTTCTGAAACAGACTATAGCGGACGTGAACAACAAAAATAATTCCATAGATTTATGGTACTTACACTAATTACCTTACGTTTGCCCATAAATTAGGAATATGTACAATAGATATCGGGACACAGAAGTGGGGTCTAAATTATTCAGAAAAGATTTCGTAATGACAATTGTAACGAGGTTTAGGAAAACTAGATTTCATATAATCTGGTGTTTACAGTCAGGAAATAAGAAAATTATGCTTTTGATTGTGAAAAATTACTTGGGTTTTAACAAAGGTACGGTCTTTGGGTTCATAAATTTTGAAAGGACAAGAAGGAAAATGTGAAACACGTGGTCTACGACAGCATTAACCTGAGAGGGTACTGAAAAGTATCGAATCTCTGGGTTGCCTAAAATAAGGCGAAAACGAATAACATATGCCTTCTTAGCGAGTTGAAAGGAGATAGATATATTATATGGTCTAGTCTTCCTGTAAGATAATCTAAACTAGTTATATTGACAGAAGAATCAATTCTGTGTACTAAACAATGGTACCGGATAATACTTTTATGGTGTTTTTATGTCATTCGTGGTCCGTAGTACCGACAATCCTGCAATAAAATAACCTTGAATGGAAACTGATAGAGATAGAGATACTACAGATTCTCATGTTTCTGAATATTTCGAAGACTGAAGATTCCAAGACTTAAAAATTATGAAGATTTCATATATTTCAGATTCCAAATGATCCAAAAATTCCAAAAATTGTCGATATCGTGAGACTCTAGATAGAGATTACAGAAATTGTAAAGATTTCGAAGACCGAGGTTCCAAAAACTAGGGAAACTGAAAATTTCGAAGATTCTGAGCACTATAAAGATTCCAAAGACTTGAAAAATTTCGAAGGTTCTAAAGACTAGAGATTCCAGAGATTCTGAAGATGAAGTCTCTGAATATTTCGAAGGCTGAAAATTCCAAAAATTCTGAACATTTTGAAGGTTTTCAGAGATTGCACAAATTCCAAAAATTCCGGATATTTCTCGACTCTGAGACCCTAGATAGAGATTACAGAAATTGTAAAGATTTCGAAGACCGAGCTTCCAAAAACTAGGGAAACTGAAAATTTCGAAGATTCTGAGCACTATAAAGATTCCAAAGACTTCAAAAATTTCGAAGGTTCCAAAGACTAGAGATTCCAGAGATTCTGAAGATGAAGTCTCTAAATCTTTCGAAAGCTGAAAATTCCAAAAATTCTGAACATTTTGAAGGTTTTCAGAGATTGCACAAATTCCAAAAATTCCGGATACTTCTAGACTCTGAGACTCTAGATAGAGATTACAGAAATTGTAAAGATTTCGAAGACCGAGCTTCCAAAAACTAGGGAAACTGAAAATTTCGAAGATTCTGAGCACTATAAAGATTCCAAAGACTTGAAAAATTTCGAAGGTTCTAAAGACTAGAAATTCCAGAGATTCTGAAGCTGAAGTCTCTAAATATTTCGAAAGCTGAAAATTCCAAAAATTCTGAACATTTTGAAGGTTTTCAGAGATTGCACAAATTCCAAAAATTCCGGATATTTCTAGACTCTGAGACCCTAGATAGAGATTACAGAAATTGTAAAGATTTCGAAGACCGAGCTTCCAAAAACTAGGGAAACTGAAAATTTCGAAGATTCTGAGCACTATAAAGATTCCAAAGACTTGAAAAATTTCGAAGGTTCTAAAGACTAGAGATTCCAGAGATTCTGAAGCTGAAGTCTCTAAATATTTCGAAAGCTGAAAATTCCAAAAATTCTGAACATTTTGAAGGTTTTCAGAGATTGCACAAATTCCAAAAATTCCGGATATTTCTAGACTCTGAGACCCTAGATAGAGATTACAGAAATTGTAAAGATTTCGAAGACCGAGCTTCCAAAAACTAGGGAAACTGAAAATTTCGAAGATTCTGAGCATTATAAAGATTCCAAAGACTTGAAAAATTTCGAAGGTTCTAAAGACTAGAGATTCCAGAGATTCTGAAGATGAAGTCTCTAAATATTTCGAAAGCTGAAAATTCCAAAAATTCTGAACATTTTGAAGGTTTTCAGAGATTGCACAAATTCCAAAAATTCCGGATATTTCTAGACTCTGAGACTCTAGATAGAGATTACAGAAATTGTAAAGATTTCGAAGACCGAGCTTCCAAAAACTAGGGAAACTGAAAATTTCGAAGATTCTGAGCACTATAAAGATTCCAAAGACTTGAAAAATTTCGAAGGTTCTAAAGACTAGAGATTCCAGAGATTCTGAAGATGAAGTCTCTAAATATTTCGAAAGCTGAAAATTCCAAAAATTCTGAACATTTTGAAGGTTTTCAGAGATTGCAGAAATTCCAAAAATTCCGGATATTTCGAGACTCCAGAAATTCCAGAAACCCTAAATATTCAGAAGATTCTGAAAATTCTGTGTACATATTCTAGTGGTTTTAGAGATTCTAACGAATTTGGTTTCTAAATAATTGTCTTCTTGAGATTGCGATTTTAGGGATTCTAAAGATTCTACATCTTCTCAGCTTCTCATACTTCTGAATATTTCAAAAACTGAAGATTTTAAATATTTCGAAGAAGAATACTGAAGATTATAATGATTCTAAAGGTTTAAGAAATTCCAGAGATCCCAGAACTCCTGGATATTCAAAGACTTAGAGATTCCAGAGATTCTGAAAATGAAGTCTCTAAATATTTCGAAAGCTGAAAAATCCAAAAATTCTGAACATTTTGAAGGTTTTCAGAGATTGCACAAATTCCAAAAATTCCGGATATTTCGAGACTCCAGAAATCCCAAAAACCCTAAATATTCAGAAGATTCTGAAAATTCTATGTACATATTCTAGTGGTTTTAGAGATTCTAACGAATTTGGATTCTAAATAATTGTCTTCTTGAGATTGCGATTTTAGGGATTCTAAAGATTCCACAGCTTCTTAGCTTCTCATACTTCTGAATATTTCAAAAACTGGAGATTTTAAATATTTCGAAGAAGAATACTGAAGATTATAATGATTCTAAAGGTTTCAGAAATTCCAGAGATCCCAGAAATCCTGGATATTCAAAGACTTTAGAGATTCCACAGATTCTGAAGATGAAGTCTCTAAATATTTCGAAAGCTGAAAATTCCAAAAATTCTGAACATTTCGAAGGTTTTCAGAGATTGCATAAATTCCAAAAATTCCGAATATTTCGAGAGTCCAGAAATTCCAGAAACCCTAAATATTCAGAAGTTTCTGAAAATTCGATGTACATATTCTAGTGGCTTTAGAGATTCTAACTAATTTGGATTCTAAATAATTGTCTTCTTGAGATTGCGATTTTAGGGATTCTAAAGATTCTACAGCTTCTCAGATTCTCATACTTCTGAATATTTCAAAAACTGAAATTTTTAAATATTTCGAAGAATAAGACTGAAGATTATAATGATTCTAAAGGTTTCAGAAATTCCAGAGATCCCAGAAATCCTGGACTTTCAAAGACTCAGAAATTCCAGAGATTCTGAAGTTGAAGTCTCTAAATATTTCGAAAGCTGAAAATTCCAAAAAATCTGAACATTTAGAAGGTTTTCAGAGATTGCACAAATTCCAAAAATTCCGGATATTTCGAGACTCCAGAAATTCCAGAAACCCTAAATATTCAGAAGTTTCTGAAAATTCTATGTACATATTCTAGTGGTTTTAGAGATTCTAACGAATTTGGATTCTAAAGATTCTACTGCTTCTCAGCTTCTCATACTTCTGAATATTTCAAAAACTGGAGATTTTAAATATTTCGAAGAAGAATACTGAAAATTATAATGATTCTAAAGGTTTCAGAAATTCCAGAGATCCCAGAAATCCTGGATATTCAAAGACTAGAGATTCTAAAGATTCTGAAAATTTCGGGAACTAAATATTCCAAAAATTTTGAAGACTGAAGGTTTCGCAGACTGAAGATTATAAAGATTAAAATCTTAGATTCATCCGTTTTTCAAAATAGAATTCAATATTTCTACATATTTTTCTTCATTCTAGTACTACTCTTGATATTGTTCAGTCTTATCTTAGTAAATACTAGCCCCACCCACCCACCCTTATTTTTTTCGGGGATATGTCATTTGCCAAAATTATTCGTATCTTACGAAGTACAAGCCCCAAAGTTTGAAATTTTTTATTAAGTTGGCAATAGTTCCATGACAAATATTAACTTAATCTGAATAAATGTGTAGTACTTGTTTGGAACAAGAGTACCAAGAAGAAGGTACTTCGTTTTTAAAATTCATCCGTAAGTTTCCGCTTCGTAAAGCAGAAAACATATATTAACAAATAAATAAAATTCTGGATGGACACCACAACAGTGCACTGAACCACATCCAACTACCGAGCGCGAAACCAAGATTAAACATGAATTTCGTCGACGTGTTTTTCAAACAAACTTCAACTAAGATATGCATTTTAATGTTTTCTGGCCGACAGCGTACTTGAAAAAGTGCCAACGTTGCAAAAAACCGAAAAGAAAACAATATTGTGGGTTAAAAAAAGCAACCTCCTCATTTTTTATTGTATATTTCGTCTTTAAGACGAATTTTGGACCAAGAATCGAAGCGCTCAATCAACTATCTAATTAATAACTACGCTAGATTCGTGTTCACCACGTGTTTTTTTTTTATTTCCAGGCTAAAACTCGAAACCCTCTCAAAATGCGAAGACGTCATCCTCAAACTCTACGAAAAAGTGGTGAGTCCCCTTTTCAATTGCAGCAGCCCCAAAACTCACCCTCTTTTGCAGAAATCGGGCTCGCACTCGCAGGGGTCAAAACCGGCGTTCGCGCCTCCCGCGTGCCCCATGTCGCCCATCACCCCCTCGAGCCCCAGCCCTCCGCGCGACATCCCCAAAACCAAGCCCGTCGTCATCCCCACGGAGAAGATTTCGGACCGAACGGAACGGTAATCCACTTTCACCCTAATAATAATAATAATAATAATGAGGAAATATGTTTCAGCGACACCCAGCTGTGTCAACCTAGTAGCAGCTTCATGCATAGAATAGACATATATAGTAGTGCTGCTGATAGTTTAAAGTCTTCGCCGTTCAAACCTAGCGTTTTCGAACGCCTGGGTAAGAAGACACCGGATATGTCGAAACCGCCGATTAGTATAGAGGATTTAGAAGCTCTGCAGCAAGATGTCCTCACGGAACGTCTCTCATTGAACGAGTTGACGGACTTGAGGGAGAAATTGCAAAAGCAGTTGAGTACGTCGGACGAAGGGGAGCAGGCCCGGAAATCCCCGATTAACACGACCGTCAGAAATACCACGATTTTGACTAAGAAAGCCGTGGAGAAAGCGGCCTCTGATAGTAAGAGTAAACAACCTGAAGATAAACCAGTTGTTAAACCTCCAGTTCCTAATAAACCAGTGAAAGTGATTAAAGAAGCGTCTAGTATTTTCGGTACTGCCCTGTCGAGTATCGATAATAAAATCATAGAGGGTGCTGGTAAAGGTAAAGAGAAGGAACGGAGGAACTCGATCGGGTCGAAGAAGGAGGCGGAAGGTGTCGAAAAGAGTAAAGAAAGACGAAGTTCCAAGGAAGATAAGAAAGGGGAGTCGTCTAGCCATAAAAGTTCCAAAGATAAAGATAAGGAAAGAGATAAGGATAAGACTGAGAAGAAGAGTTCGGAGCATAGGAGTCGCGATAAGAAAGAGGAGGACAAGAAAGATAAAACCAGGGAGCGGAAAGACGAAAAACGTGATAAAGATCGAAAACCTAAGGAAGATGCGAAAAGACACGAATCCGCGAAGAAGGAGCACGTTGACGATAAAAAGAAGGAGGAGGTGCGGACTAAAGACGAAAAAGACAAGACTAAAGAGGAGGACGATAGGAAAAAAGATGAGGAAAAGAAGAAGGAGGAGACGATTGATAAACCGAAACCCGAGGAGTCAAAGCCCGCCCAACCCGTTTATAAGAGACTGGCGGACAAATACAACCCTAAACCTCGAAAACCGTCTTCAGAAGCGTCGTCACTACCCGACGTACCCAAAAAGGTTTCCGAAAGTATCGAAAACAACATGAAGACTAACCCTATCCCGTTTCTGGAGGTCAACAGATCTCCCCCTAAGTTACCAGCGTTGACTCTACCTCTACTATCCCCCACCAGTTCGACTGGTACCGTTGATAACGAAGTCGCTACGTTTACCCGAAAACTTATACCGACTCCACAACCCGTGCCAAACCCTCAAATCGCCACCATTCCAAGCCACGTGACTAACATTCTAGCCAATCCGAACAACACGGCTTTGATTAATTCGGTCGTCAACCAATTCAAAGCGCGACCCACGGCTTTAATCCCGCCTAGTCCGAACGCGTTCCCGCCTCAGCCGGTCCCCTCGCCCAATCAGAACTTCTCGAATAATAACTACGCCCCTAACGAAATGGGCAACGTACATTTTAATCCCCCGAATCAACAGAGTACGTTTTGGCAGGCACCGAACGCCCCTAATCGAATGCAACCCCCGCCTCAGAACCACCCCCCGCACTTGATGAAGCACCCGCTCCCGGTACCTCATCCTCACCCCCAGAACTTCCCGCAGCGTTCCTTCACCCCCATCCCCAATCAGTTCGACAACCAGATACAACCCATGGATTACTACCCTCCGGGTAGTACCCCCACCCACAACCCCTTCAACCATCAAGCGCCGCCCATGTTGTCGCCGCAGTACGACAACTTCGAGCCGCGCCCGCCTCGCAAACCCAGCGACGAACCTTTCAAAAAAGATCGAGATTCGCGCTATCGAGACGACTGGAGGCGGATGGGGTCGCAGAGACCGCGTGACTATCGCGAGCCCAATCGCGATCCGCGGCTGCACCGAGAGCGAGAGAGGGACAGAGAGAGAGATAGGAATTATCGTGACGATCAGAGACCGACGGTACGAAGAGAGGCGAGGGAGTACGATCGTGACAATAGGAATAAGTTTAGAGACCCGAGGTTGAATCGGTTTAGGTACGAACGCGACCCGGAGGCCAGTCGGGCGAAATCGCCGAGCAGAGGACGGTCGCCGGCGAGGACACGATCCCCGACGAAGTCGCCGGTCCGACAGAGAGCGAGGTCGGTGTCGAAGGAAGGCGAAGACACGTTCGTGTCACCTTTGGATAGCTTATATTCCGGAAGCGACAGAGATAGAAGAACGGGGAAGGGATACGGCGTGCAGAACTTCAAAATACCGAAGATCAAGAAGGAGGAGGATGCGGAGGAGGCGGAGCCTGACGCGAAGAAGGAGGAGGAAGTGAAAGCGTCAGTCGAGGAGAAGGAGGAGCCAAAGGAGGAACCCGCGCCCGTCGACGATAAAAAAGAGCCGGTAGTCGAGGTTAAAGAGCCCGAAACGGAAGTTAAGGCCACCACGAGCACGGAAGTGGCTAAAGAGACACCCGAAAGCGACGAAAACGTGGCTTCGGCTAACGTGTCGTCGTCGACCGAGTGCGACAACAAAGAAACGACTGACGGTCAGTCGGAGGTGGCTAAAGACACAGCGGACGTTGGTGAAATCTCGTCCACCAACGACATCCCCGAGAACCAACAGGAAGTTAAACCCCTAGACGACGAAAGTCAAACTGACATCATCAACAAATTCTTGAAGAAACTTCTCGAGAATGAGCGGACTAGGGCGGCTGCCTCTCTTTTCATCGACAACGTCTCCAATTCGCTTGACGACGAGAAGTTGAAGATCGTGGTGCAGACGGTGAAGTCAGCCGCGGTTGAAGAAGAACCCGAGAAACGCCCCGTCGTCAAGAAAAAGAAGAAATTGGTGAAGAAAAGTAAGCTTAGTGCGAAGTTGGCGGCGAAGCGGAAGCAAGCGGTCCAGCGCAAACTGAGACTTCGGAAGCAGAGGAAACCCGTGCGGGTGATCGACGACGACGACGACGACGACGAAGAAGAAGAAGAAACGAAAAAAGACAAGGAAAAAGAGGAAAAGAAAGACGAAGAAGTGGAAGAGGAAGAAGAAGAAGAAAAACCCGAAGAGGTAGTCGTTTCGGTCGGCGAAAGAATCAAGAGTCGCAAACGCTTAGCCGCCAGTCCTCCCAAAAAGCGAAAAGTCAAGCACAAAACCGAGCTGGATTTGCTCCACGAAGACATCCAAGACATGTTCATTCGAGACGGGGTGTTGACAGCAACCGGAAAACGAATGTGCAGGTTGCTGAAGAACGACGAAACTAAACCACCACCGCCGGAACCCAGACGAAGAACGCGAAACACGGCGGAAAAATTCGACTCCAAAGCCAACTCGGAGAAGTTGAAAGCGATGAGTAACGTCCGAGTTCTCATACCCAAAATCCCCGCCGACAAGCTGAGCGAAATCGAGGACGAAAGTCAACGCTATTCGTTGCGACGCTCCAGCAAATCCAACAAGAGTTACGCGGAAGTGGACAGCGAAGACGAGAAGGAGAAGGAGCGCGAGAAGGAAAAGCAACGACAGAAGGAGCGGGAGGAAGAGCTCGAAAAGGAGAAGCAGCGGGAGAAAGAGCGCGAGAAGCAGAAGCAGCGCGACAAAGAAAAAGCCAAAGAGAAAGAGAAGGAGAAAGCCAAAACGAAAGAAAAGAAGAAGAAGATCGAGAGCGACGACGAACCCGAGGAGAAAGTCCAAGACGAGAAGGACAAGCCCGCAACTCCGAAGAAAGTCAAGAAGAGAGCGAAAGCGTGGGCTAGCGGGGTTTTACCCAAACGGAAGAAGAAGATCGTCGAGGACAAAGAAGACGATTCGGATAAGTCCTTCGAGTTGGTTGAGCCGGATAAAAACTATTTTTCGTCGAAGTTGTGGCATTCGAAGACTCCTTGTAAGCTTTGCGACTACGACGGGATGAATATTACGAAGCACTACCGCTCCCAGCACCCCGAATCGGAGGTCTTGTCGTCTAGATTGAGTCCGCAGAAGGCTGAAGATGCGATTAAACAGTCGCTCGAGTTGGGTTTAGACGAAAAGGAAGACGAGATGCTTCTGTCGACGAAGAGATTTTCGTTCGTTTGTCGCTTCTGTGATTTAGAAATGAACTGTCAACCGTCGAATTTTTATGACCATATTTCGACCCACACGGGAGAATATAGACACATTTGTACGTTGTGTGATTTCACCGCGTCTAATAATAAACCGTTACGGATTCACTATAGTAACGTTCATGGTAAAGACGCGTATAATCGAGCCGCCCGGACTCGGACTCGGGTCTACGGGTACATCTGCGTCGAGTGTAATTTCGTACAAACGAACAAAAAGACCGTGGACACGCACGTCAACGTGTACCACCTAGGCGAAGGTAAACAAGTCCTGAAGATACATTTGTCCACCGGAAGCGACAAACGAATCGGGAAGGAAGACAAGACTGAAGAGAAAAGTGAAGCGCAAGCGTTCGAGGAAGAGGTAGACGAAGAGCAAGAAGAGGAAGAAGAAGAGGAACCCAAACCCAAACGCAAAAAAACCGAAGAGCAACTACCCCCATCTCCGAAACGTATCAAGAAAGAGAGGGAGATTGATATGACCGTGTTCACTTGTAATACCGACATTCAAGAAGAGAACGAGCAGATCGAGCAAGAGCGCTTGCGCAAAATGGCCGAGTTGAACGAGAGCGTGAAGAAGACGAATCGCCAGAGTTTGAATTTCGTCGACCAATTGAGTAACCGCTTGTTGCAAGAGGAGAAGGAGGCTCCGCCTCCCGAGATGGTCACGGTTAAGAGCGAACCAATCGATGACGAGTTCCTTCCGGAGCTCGAAGCGGAGTGTGTACCTGAGCCCGACGTTGACCCGGAACCCGTAACCCCGAAGAAACCCGTCAAGGTGATGGAACCTCCCGTGTCGCCGATTCAAGTGGTCCAGAAGGACAATTCGCTCATTCAGGGGATGATCCAGAAGTTGCAGGGGAAACTTAAGGAGGAGAAAAGTGTGGATGGGCCGCCACCGCTGGCCCCTCTTGTGGAACGAGTCGAGGACGTGAAAGCTTTCCTGAGTGCTGGGTTCTTAAACATAAGTAAGACTACCAACGGGTTGGAGTATGCCTGTCGGGTACCGTCGTGTTTGTTCACCACGACGAACCGCGATGGGTTCGTGACGCACTGGACTGAAGACCACACCCGAATCAACCAGAGTTACAAAGCCACCAAGTGTCGGATTTGTTCGCAGGAAGTGACAGCAACCGCGGGTGCGACGCTACTGATCAACTTTTTCGCCCACGTCGAGAACGACCATCTATGTAAAATCAAGACTTCGTTCAATTCCGGGTTCATCAGCGTCGACAAAGACCAAGACGGTTTTGACTACATCTGTAGAGTCCACTTGTGTGGTTTCATGACGAAAGTTCGCGAGGTGTTCGTCGAACACTTGAACGAACACGCAGACCTGGATCCGTACAAGTCCACGGTCTGTGGGATATGTTTAGCCCCGGTGGGGTCTACCTCCACAGCTACCTTGTTAACCAATTTGTTCGCGCACATCGAGAACGAACATCTCGAGGACGAGAAAATTCCTTCTTCTCGTAGCGTGTTGCGCACGCGGCGACTAAGCGGCGACAAGCTATCCAAAGCCAAGGAAGAATCGCCCGAGGCGAAAGACGAGGAGGAAAATCCTTTCCCGTTTAAAATCTCGGGGGTTATGTCGCTCGCGGACGAAACCGTGCCTCCGTTGTCGCCTCTTCGCGAGAAACCTCACAAAATCGAGAGCGTCATTCTAAAAGAAGCCAAGATGACGGCTGCGGAGAAAACCGCGACTTGGAAGTCCACCGAAGCCATGAATAAATTTTTGCAGTGTCCGCGCGAGTTGTACAAGTGTCCGCAGTTCTTCTGCAAGTACGCCACTGTGCTGCGGCACTTGTTCGAAGGTCATATTAAAGCGCATGCGCGCGTCAGCGACGAGCTGGTTTCTTGCGTCTACTGCGACGTAAAAACGCCTTTAAGCCACGCGGGGCTTCACATCGACTTACGCCACTCCAACTGCTTGTATTCGTGCTCGCATTGCTTGTACCGGGCGCTGAGCAAGGAGTACGTGATGATCCACAACAAGCTCAAGCATAAGGAGACGGATTTGATTATTTCGTTGCCGCCGAAGACGGCCAAGACGATCATGATGAGCAAGCAGAAGCAGTTTACGGTGAAGGAGGCGTGTCCGCCGTATAAGTGCGGGAGTCAAGGTAAGGGTGGAGATGGGGTTGATGGAGGTTGTATGGAGGGTGTTTCAGGGTGTACGGCTGAGTTCTTGTACGTGAGCGACTTCTGCGCGCACTTGCAAGAGAACCATGATGGGGTGATGGTTTGTGGGTTCTTGAACAACCAGCAGCGGTGTAACTTCCAGTGTTTGGTGGCGGAGAATATGGTGGATCATTGGAGGGTGCACAATTGCTTCAATTTACACTGTCTGGTGTGTAAGTTTGGGGCGATGGAGAAGTATAGTATGTTGGAGCATTATTCGGTGACGCATTCGAATATGGAGCCGCTGGTGGTGGATAGGAGTACTTCGGCCACGGTGAGTCGTGTAATCGAAAAAAAGTGGTTTAGTGGGCTATGAAATTGTTTTTATAATTATAATAGTATCGTGGTTATTTGACATTTTATTTGACAATTATTTGATAGTGAATGTCAAAGACGGTTAGTGTTGCCAACATACATTTTTTAACATTAAATTTCAAGGCTTGCTGGACGACTTTTTTTCTCGATCATATCGTATTCGTGTTATTAATTTTAATGGAAGACGAATTAAAAAATGAGTTTTTTTTTCTGAATGTAAAAATGTTAAAGCTGGAGTATAGTCGACGGAAAATTTTTGAAAAACTGTAAAATTCGCTTTATTCGGTATATTCGAAGAAAAAATTAATAAAAAATTTGAAAAATTGAGATTTTTGAAAAATTGCGCAAAAATTCTCAAAAACATAACGTGTTGATGGTTTCTGACCAAAATTTGTGAAAAATTCTACAAAATTCCGTTTGAAAATGGATTTTTTTTTGTAATATACGGAAAATTGTCATTTTTCATTTAATCGATGTTGAATTGTTGGAATTTTCGAAGAAATGAGATCGAAAATAAGTTGTACAACTGGAAATCTACAAGAAAATGTCTTTGGATAATTTTCGAAGGGTGCTCGAAAAACCGTAAAAAATTTTATAATCTAATTAGAAAATAGGTTTTTGAAAAATTAATTAAAAATTCTTAAAAAATTCTGGAAAATATATTTCGACGAGCTGACGATTTTTGAAAAATTCTGTAAAATTAGGTTGGAAAATGGAATTTTTTAAATCGTTTTTCACCTGGAATTGTCCAAACCGAAAATAACTTCCATAATTGGAAATCTGCAATAAAATGTCTTTGGTAATTTTCGAAGTTTACTAACGGCAAAAAATTATATTTTAACGATTCTGATAAAATTGTTATTTTTCGAAAAAATGAAGTCGAAAATAATTTCTGCAAGTCAAAATGTACAAGAAAATGACTTCAAGTAATTTTCGAAATGTGTTTGAAAAACAATTAAAAAATTCCCCAAAAAAAATTCTTAAAAAAATGAGATTTTTGAAAACTTCCCTAAAATTTTTTACAAAATTCTAAAAAAAATTGCTATTTTTGAAAAAAATTAACTAAGAATTTGCAAAACATTCTGGGGAATACATTTTGACGAATTGATTCCAAAAACGTTACATAGTTATTGATGGTCTCGAGGCAAGATTTTCCAAAAATTCGTTTAAAAAATATATTTTTTTTTAACATATTTCTTGGAAAACCGTCAGAGTTCCTGCGGTGGCAGATCAAGATTTTTTTTGAAAAATTTCTCGAAGTTCTGTTTGCAAATGCATTTTTTTTAATATCTCGAAAATGTTTTTTTTTAAATGATTGTGGAAAAATTGTTGGAATTTTCAAAAAATTGAAGCTGAAAATAACTTCTACAAGTTAAAAACTACAATAAAATATTTTTTTGAATTTGCGAAAGGTGCTTGGAAAACGGTAAAAAAAACAAAAAATTCGTTCGAAATTTTTTTGGAAAATTTTTATTTATTTATTTATTTAGCAGAGAAATTACAGAGTAGAGTCTAAAAATCGTCAAAAAAATCAGAGAAAAATTGAGGATTTTTGAAATTGCCTAATAATCCTCAAAAAATTCTGAGAAAAAATAAGATTTTTGAAAAGTTGCTCAAAAATTCACATATAATTCTGGAATCAATTTAAAACATTGATGGTCTCGGGCTAAGATTTTCCAAAAATTCGGTCAAAAAACATATTTTTTTAAACATATTTCTTGGGAATAGTCAAAAAGTTCCTACGGTGGCAGATTAATTTTTTTTTTTTTTGAAAAATTCCTTAAAGTTCGGTTTGTAAATGGATTTTTTTTTAATAAGGTATTTCAAAAATGGTTTTTCATTTAATTGATTATGGAAAAATTGTTGGAATTTTCAAAAAATTGAAGCCGAAAATAACTTCTACAAGTCAAAATCTACAATAAATTTTTTTTAGTTATTTACGAAAGGTAAAAAAAACTCAAAAAATTCTCAGAAAAAACGAAATTTTTGAAAATTGTGTAAAAATCTTCAAAAAAATTTGAGAAAAAGTTTAATTTTTGAAGTTGCCTAAAAGTCTTCCAAAAATTCTAAGAAAAATGAGATATTTGTAAAGTTGACTAAATCTCCAAAAAATTATGAGAGAAATTGGGATTTTTGAAGTCGCCCAAAAATTCGCAAAAAAATTTGGAACTAATTTAAAAAATTGGTGGCCTGGGGCCAAAATTTTCCAAAAATTCGGCTAAAAAATGAAATTTTGTAAATATCTATCACTGAAAATGATCAAGAAAGTCCTACGGTGGTGGGTGGGCTCTGACTAAGAATTTTGGAAAATTCCTTAAAATTCGGTTTGCAAATGGATTTTTTTTTTAATATTTTTAAAATGGTTTTTCATTTAGTTGATTCTGGAAAAATTGTTGGAATTTTTGAAAAGTTGAGGCCCAAAATAACTTCTAGAAGTCAAAATTTACAATAAAAATTTTTTAGTAATTTGCGAAAAATGTTTGAAAAACTCAAAAAAAGTCACAGAGAACACGAAATTTTTTGAAAATTGTGTAAAAATCTCCAAAAAAATTCGAGAAAAATTGAAATTTTTGAAGTTGCCTAAAAAATCAAAAAATTCAGAGAAAAATATGAGATGTTTGTAACGTTGACTACATTTTCAAAAAATTATGAGAGAAAAGTCTCCCAAAACTTCGGCAAAAAAATTTATTTGGAATTAATTAAAAAAATTGATGGCCTCGGGGAAAAATTTTCCAAAAATTCGTCTAAAAAGTGAAATTTTGTAAACGGTCAAAAAATTCCTACGGTGGTCAAGATTTTTGAAAAATTGCTTAAAATTCGGTTTGAAAATGGATTTTTTTTATATCTCGAAAATGGTCGTTTTTCATTTAATAGATTCTAGAAAAATTGTTGGCACTTTCGAAAAAAATGAAGCCAAAAATAACTTCGACAAGTCGAAATGATGACTTTGAGTAATTTTCCAGAGGTACTTGAAAGCTGTCAAAAAATCCACCCAAAAAATTCTTAGTAAAAATGAGATTTTAGGAATTTGCTTAAAAATTTGAAAAAAATTCTGAGAAAAATTTAAATTTTTGAAAAAATTGCCTAAAAATGTGCAAAACATCCTGAAAAATACATTTTGACGAAATGATTCGGAAAACGTTGGTCTCGCACTTAGATTTTCCAAAAATTCGGTTTAAAAATATTTTTTTAGACATATTTCTTCTCAAAAAATTCGCAGGAAAAAAACAATTTTTGGAAAATTGTCTTAAAATCTTCAAAAAATCCGACAAATCGAGACTTTTGAAGTTGCCTAAAAGTCTTTAAAAAATTCTGAGCAATGAGATGTTTGTAAAGTTGACTAAAAATTTTCAAAAAATTCAGAGAAAAATTGAAATTTTTGAAAAATTTGCAGAACTTCCTGGAAAATACATTTCGACGAATTGATTCGAAAAACGTAGTCTCGGACCAAAATTCATGTAATTGATTGTGGAAAAATTGTTGGAATTTTCGAAAAATTGAAGCCGAAAATGATTTCTACAAGTCGAAGTCGACAGGAAAATATTTTTAGTAATTTTCGAAATGTACTTAAAAATTAGTCAAAAAAATCCTCAAAAATCTTGAGAAAAATGAGATTTTTGAAAATTGCCCAAAAAATTCGAGAAAATACATTTCGACGAATTGATTAATAACATTGATGGCCTCGGACCAAAATTTATCAAAAATTCGGCTAAAAAATGAAATTTTGTAACCACGGAAAACGGTAAAAAAATTCCTCCAGTGGTTCCTGATCATGATTTTTGAAAATTACTTAAAATTTGGATTGAAAATGGATTTTTTTTTTAATCTCGAAAATGGTCGTTTTTCGTTTCATTGATTTCGCAAAAATTGTTGGAATTTTCGAAAAAAATTAAGCCCAAAATAATGTCTTTGAGTAATTTTCGACAGATGCTTGAAAAACGATCAAAAAATCCTCAAAAAAAATCTTGGAAAAAATTAGATTTTTGGAAAGTTGCCAAAAAATTTTCAAAAAATTCAGAGAAAAATTGAGATTTGTGAAAAATTTGCAAAACATTCTGAGAAATACATTTCGACGAATTGATTCTCGGACCAAAATTTTCAAAAAGTTTTTACGATCTAGATTTTGAAAAATTTTTACTAATTTTCGAAATGTACTTGAAAAACAGTCAAAAAATCCTGAAAAAATTCTGAGAAAAAATGAGATTTTTGAGAAGTTGCCCAAAAAATTCGGGAAAATAGATTTTGACGAATTGATTAAAAACATTGATGATTTTTCAAAAATTCGGCCAAAAATTAAATTTTGTAAATATTTATCACGGAAAACTGTAAAAAAAATCCTACGGTGGTGATCCCTGACCAAGATTTTTGAAAAATTCCCCAAAATTCTGTTTAAAAAGGAATTTTTTTTAATCATCTGGAAAATACTGGTTTTCATTTAATTGATTCTCGAAAAATTGTTGGAAAAACGGTCAAAATATCCCCCAAAAATTGTGCGAAAAAATGAGATTTTTGGAAAGTTGCCCAAACAATTCGCAGAAAATTCTGGGAAATAGATTTCGACGAATTTATTGAAAAAATTGATGGCCTCGAACCAAAATTTTCCAAAAATTCGGGTCAAAATTGAAATTTTTGTAAATATCTATCACGGAAAACGGTGAAAAATTCCATCTAATTCGGTTTGAAAATGGAATTTGTAAAATATATCGAAAATGGTGGTTTTTCATTTAATTGATTCTGGAAAAATTGTTGGATTTTTCAAAAATTGAAGCTACGACAAAATATATTTAGCAATTTTTGAAAGGTGCTTGAAAAATGGTCAAAAAAATCGCAGAAAAAACGAAATCTGGAAAATTGTCTAAAAATCGCCAAAAATTTTGGAAAATACGTTTCGACGCAAAACGTCAGCTGAACGCCACTGCTGCGTTTGGTTGTGCTTAATATTTCTTACCTTTTTAACATTTTGAGAAAACAACAAAATGGAACACAAATTCAGAACATTGCCTTCTCCAGATCGAAATCTCGAACACGGACGAAACCCCCGAACCCGCCTCTAAACTAACCCGAAAACGCCAATTAGCCAACGCCCGCATGAAAAAACACCGCCAAAAAAAGCGCGAAGAAGCCCACCAGAAATCGGTCCCGCCAGACGAACAAACCGAAGAACAAATTCGCCAGAATAAATTACAACGAAGACGCGAATTAGCCAGGGAGTACTCCCAACGCTACCGCGATAACAAACGCCTACTAAAATTAGTCCGGGACTCGGTAACCCCCACTCCACCCAGCAACCAGGAAACCGTGGTCGACGATCCACCCACACCCACGACCGTGGTAGACGACGACGACGACTCGAACGACTCTGTACAGGTACGTGTACACTGTAATTTTGTCGAAGAGCTGCTCTAGTTAGAGCTGACAGAGTGCTCAGGCAGTGTACACAGCACCTAGAGTCCTCTAGCAGCCCTAGCTCGGAAAGAAATTTGCAAAACGAAATTATTTGAAAAGTCTTGGCACGTGGTCTTAGAAAAAATATTAAGCACAACTAAACGCAGCAGTGACTTATAGCGCTCTCTCTGTATATTTAGTAATAGTAATAGTGATAATAGTAACAATGTGTTGATTGTGGTGTGTTTAGGGCGGCAACCAAGGCTACTCTGACGTCGCCTGCTCGAAAATCCGGTACCTCAACGACGAGCTCCTCGAAAGCGTTAATGTGCAGCAGTTCACGATCCTCCAGGCCGACAAACCCCAGTTTGTTCTGACCACGGAAAAACAGAGGGAGTCGCCAAAGCCCGTCGAACCCCCTAAGAACGTCACGCTCGTTCCGCTGTCCATCCTCCAACCCAACTCCACCGAAAGCAAGAAGATCATCGCCATCATCCCCAACACCCCCACGTCCAAACCCGTGCAGCTGTTCACCGCTTTGAACAAAGAAACCTCGGCTGCACCGTTTGTTTTCGCGTCGACGTCCGCCGCCCCCGAAGCCGTTACTAAGGAGAAGGAGCCCGCCAAGGAAGACCCGGTGACGGTGTCGGTGGAGGAAAGCGATAATAGCGTGGACAATAGTGGCGACAACATCGTCGATCCGTTGAGTCTCGAGGGTGAGATAGCCAGTGTTGTGTTAGCCTCGGGCGACGAAAGCGACTCCCAGGAGCTCAACGAAGCCGGGGATATGTTGAAGAGCTTCGGGTTGATCGGGTACCAGTTGTACCGGTGTGCGTTCTGCGATATTTCCTTTTCGAATACTAAGGACTTCAAAGCGCATACTATGCATTCGACGCAGTGCAGGGATGCGAATAACACGGCTAAACCCTACAAGTGCGTGCACTGCGAGAGGTTGTTTAAGAACCCGCACGGACTCCTGGAGCACATACAATACCACGGGCAGCTGCGGTTCGGGTGTTCGTTGTGCGTGAAGAAGTTCCCGTCGCCGTTTGCGTTACGGTAAGTAAAAACTGGTGCCCGACTTGGGTTTGACTGACTTGAGTTGCAGGGTTCACATGCGGGGTAAACACAGCGTGTCCAACACCATCACCACCCCGGTGGTCCCGACCAAGACCAACATGGACCGGGACGAGTTCATCCTGCGTCCGGTGTCCACTATGGACTCGGACATGGGAAAAGAGGGACCCAGCATACCCATCCTGGGTGGACTCAAATCCATCTACAGCCCCGACGAAATCGACAAGCTCCCGAAACGCTACATCTTCAACTCCGACGTAAAGTGTGCTTTATGTTCGTACAGTACCAAGGTACGCACGAACCTGGTGAGGCACCTCCAGTTCCACTCGGCGGAGAAGAGCGTCCCCGACATCGCCCCAGTCAACCCAGTCCCATGTCTAGACAAAAACGAACGCATGTTCGACAAGATGACCAACCTCGCGCTCAGCTCAATCGCCGGGGCTACTTCCCGAATGGGCGGAGTCAAAACCGAGCCGAAAGGTTCGACCTACAATGTAGTATCCCACCACCAATTAAAACTCATGTGTTTCAGCTATCAAGGAGGAGCAAAACCACGTCCCCGCCTACGTGCCCTTGAACCGGCGCTACGTGTGTTGCGCAGACGGCTGCAACTACCTCTGTCTCGAAGAGGCCAACCTCCGGCACCACTTGCACGCCCTCCACGTGCAAGAGCCGTCGTTCACGTGCGCCCACTGCAAACTGACCCTGAAGACGGACGTCGAAGTGTTTCTGAAACACCTCAAACTGCACGATTTGCATTTGTACAAGTGTTCGGGGTGCTCGTTCGTGCATAATCTGCGGCACAAGGTGGACAAGCACGCGGCGGATAAGCACGAGAAGGGGGCCAATACGATCACGATTCGGGCGCTGGAGGCGGAGATTGTGGACGTGGAGCAATCGGTGATGAGTGTGGGCGTGGCTAGCGCGGTGGATCCGCCTCCCGCGTCGAATATCAAGTGGACGAAGCCGTGGCATTGCGGGATGTGTAAATATCGGTGTGCGGCGAAGAGTGACATTCTGGCGCATATTTTCAACAAGCACGATATAAATGCACAGTTTAAGTGCACGTTGTGTTCGTATAAGTCGGACGATAAGAGTACTTTCGAGGGGCATTTCAAGGATGGTCACCCGAATAGCGAGACTGATATTATTTATGTGTATTATAAGAGCGAGGGGACGGCGCAGGGGGGCGCTAGTCAGAAACAGTTTGATACCACCCCGTTGTGGCAACGCGACAGGCCAAGGGTGCGACACATCAGGGGGATTTTATTCGAGGAAACGTCGCCGCAAAAAGGGAAAAAAGGGCCCGTGGGGAGACCCAGCACGGTCGCGGTGGCAACGAGTAGTCCGACGACTCCGGTCACACCTACCACAACGAGTGTTAGTAATAGTAGTAGTAGCGCAGATGCGACACCCACCGGAAGTTCCAATCTAGACCTTGCGATAGACGCAGTCGCTAAAGGTATAGACGAGTGCAGCAAAAACCTCCACGTCGGTAAAGAAGAAACCAAAGAAGCTCCCAAAATCGACGAAACGGTGATCGTCATCGACGACGACGACGACGACGAAGACGAAACGCCAAGGCTGGACGATAGCGCCGACAACGAGCTACTGATCGACATAGACAGCGGGGAAACCCCCGAAGTGAAAACCGAAGTCGAGAGGGAGTTTCTCAGCGAAGATATTTTGTTCAACATGTACGGGAAGTTGTGCGCTCCGGTTGCCAAAGCGTTCAAGTGCCCGATTTGTTTGAAGTACCGAAACAGGAAAGTGGGGCCGTTTGTTTACCACATGTTGACGGAGCTGAAGTGCTATAGGTTGTATTGGGTGTTTTATTAAAAAAAAAAGGAAGTTGATTGATTTGTTGCAGGTTTAAGTGTAATTCGTGCGATTTTGCGTCGGTGACTTTCGACACTATCGCTACGCATTGTCAAGAGAAACACGATAGTGTGATTGCGAGCAACGTCAAGGATATACCGTTGGATAAGACCGTGGAGTATTGGCTGCAGATACTTATTAAGTATCAAGCGAAGGCGATTGTTCAGCAGATTTTTATTCCGACGGGAGAAGCGAGTTTGTCGTCTGTCGCTAAATTGCGATGTGATTACTGCGACAAGTGGTACGTACACGAGTCTGAGAATGAATTTCGACTAGTCGTAATTTTTAAAATAGTAGTTTGAATTTTTTTCGGTTTACTAGAAAATTTCTGATGAATTTGGGGTAATATGGTAGGTACTTGTAAGTTGTGTATAGTATATAACTCATAGTCATTACGAAAATGAGGTTAAGGTTTACCCATTCAGATCATTTATTATTAGTTGTTAGCATCAGGTTATGGGTGCAACAATTTTATCAGTTTTAAAATCTCATGGAGCGGGTCAGAATAATCTGGAAATCGTGAATTTTTCGGAGGCACTTGTAAGTGTGCCAGAATCTAAAAAACTACTTCAAAAACCAAACAAAAGGGGTCCCCGAGATGCTTTCAAACTACTGCAAAAACCAAACAAAAGGGCTCCCCGAGATTCTTTCAAACTACTTCAAAATCAAAACAAAAGAGGTCCTGGAGATTCTTTCAAACTACTTCAAAATCAAAAGAAAAGAGGTCCCCGAGATTCTTTAAAACTACTTCAAGAACCAAATAAAAGGGGTTCCAGAGATGCTTTCGAACTACTTAAAAAATCAAACAAAAGGGGTCCTCGAGATTTTTTTCAAACCTTTTCAAAAACAGAAGAAAACACGTGGCGGAGGTTCTTTCAAACTACTTCAAAAACCAAACAAAAACGCCCGAGATTATATTCAAATTACTTTAAATTCAAGGCGAGGGATTCTCAAAATACTTCAAAAACAAGAAAAATGGGTCCCAGAGATTCTTTCAAACTATTTCCAAATTAAAACAAAGGAATCCCCAAGATTCTTTTTAAACTGCTTCAAAATCAAAACTAACGAAGTCCCGGAGATTCTTTCAAACTACATACTTCAAAAACAAAGTAAAAGGGGTCCAGAGATTCTTTCAAACTGCTTCAAAAACAACATAAAATGGAGCCCGGAGGTTTTTTTAGATTACTTCAAAAACCAAACAAAAGGGTCCCAGAGATTCTTTCAAACTACTTCAAATTCAGAACAAAAGAAGTTCCGGAGATTCCTTCAAACTACTTCAAAAACCAAACAAAAAGGGTGTCCGAGATTCTTTTAAACTACTTCAAAATCAAAACAAAAGATGTCCCGGAGATTATTTTAAACTACTTCAAAATCAATATAAAAAATGTACCTGACATTCTTTCAAATCGCTTCAAAAACCAAACAAAAGGGGTTCCCGGAGATTCTTTCAAACTATTTTAAAATCAAAATAAAAGAGGTCCCCGAGATTCTTTTAAACTACTTCAAAATCAAAACAAAAGATTTACCCGAGATTCTTTCAAACTACTTCAAAAACCAAACAAAAGGAGTCCCAGAGATTATTTAAAGCTACTTTAAAAACAAAGCAAAAGAGGCCCTGGAGATTTTTTTTTAAACTACTTCAAAAACCAAACAAAAATGGTCCCCGAGATTCTTTTAAAATACTTCAAAATCAAAACGAAAAATTTACCCGAGATTCTTTTAAACTACTTCAAAATCAAAACGAAAGAGGCCACGAAGGTTCTTTCAAACTACTTTAAAAACCATACGAAAGGGGTCCCCGAGATTCTTTCAAACTACTTCAAAAACCAAACAAAAGGAGTCTCAGAGATTTTTTCAAAACTACTTTAAAAACAAAGCAAAAGAGGTGGGGGAGATTTTTTTTAAATACTTTAACAACCAAACAAAAGATTTCCCCGAGATTCTATGAAACTACTTCAAAAACCAAACAAAATTAGTCTCAGAGATTCTTTCAAAGCTACTTTAAAAACAAAGCAAAAGAAGTCCTGGGATTTTTTTAAACTACTTCAAAATCAAAACGAAAAGATTTCCCCGAGATTCTTTTAAACTACTTCAAAATCAAAACGAAAGAGGTCACGAAGGTTCTTTCAAACTACTTCAAAAACCATACTAAAGGGATCCCCGAGATTTTTTCAAACCACTTCAAAATCCAAACAAAAGGAGTCCCAGAGATTATTTAAAGCTACTTTAAAAACAAAGCAAAAGAGGCCCTGGAGATTTTTTTTTAAACTACTTCAAAAACCAAACAAAAATGGTCCCCGAGATTCTTTTCAAATACTTCAAAATCAAAACGAAAAGATTTCCCCGAGATTCTTTTAAACTACTTCAAAATCAAAACGAAAGAGGCCACGAAGGTTCTTTCAAACTACTTTAAAAACCATACGAAAGGGGTCCCCGAGATTCTTTCAAACTACTTCAAAAACCAAACAAAAAGAGTCCCAGAGATTTTTTCAAAGCTACTTTAAAAACAAAGCAAAATTGGGTCCTGGAGATTTTTTTAAACTACTTAAAAAACCAAACAAAAATTTCCCCCAGATTCGATGAAATGAAACCATTTCAAAAACCATACGAAAGGGGTCCCCGAGATTCTTTCAAACTACTTTAAAAGCAAAGCAAAAGAGGTCCTGGAGATTTGTTTAAACTACTTCAAAAACCAAACAAAAATGGTCCCCGAGATTCTTTTAAATTACTTCAAAATAAAAACAAAAGATTTTCCCAAGATTCTTTTAAACTACTTCAAAATCAAAACGAAAGAGGCCACAGAGGTTCTTTCAAACTACTTCAAAAACCATACGAAAAGGGTCCCCGAGATTCTATCAAACTACTTCAAAAATCAAACAAAAGGAGTCCTAGAGATTCTTTCAAAGCTACTTTAAAAACAAAGCAAAATTGGGTCCTGGAGATTTTTTTAAACTACTTCAAAAACCAAACAAAAATTTCCCCCAGATTCGATGAAATGAAACTACTTCAAAAACCATACGAAAGGGGTCCCCGAGATTCTTTCAAACTACTTCAAAAACAAAACAAAAGGAGTCCCAGAGATTTTTTCAAAGCTACTTTAAAAACAAAGCAAAAGAGGCCCTGGAGATTTGTTTAAACTACTTCAAAAACCAAACAAAAATGGTCCCCGAGATTGTTTTAAAATACTTCAAAATTAAAACAAAGATTTCCACGAGATTCTTTTAAACTACTTCAAAATCAGAACGAAAAAGTCCACGCACAGAGGCTCTTTCAAACTACTTCAAAAACCTTACGAAAGGGGTCCCCGAGATTTTTTCAAACTACTTCAAAAACAAAACAAAAGGAGTCTCAGAGATTTTTTCAAAGCTACTTTAAAAACCAAGCAAAAGAGGTCCTGGAATTTGTTTTAAACTACTTCAAAAACCAAACAAAAGATTTCCCCGAGATTCTATGAAACTACTTCAAAAAATAAACAAAAGGAGTCCCAGAGATTTTTTCAAAGCTACTTTAAAAATAAAGCAAAAGAGGTCCTGGAATTTTTTAAACTACTTCAAAAACCAAACAAAAATGGTCCCCGAGATTCTTTTAAAATACTTCAAAATCAGAACGAAAGAGTCCACGCCACAGAGGTTCTTTCAAACTACTTCAAAAACCATACGAAAGAGATCTCCGAGATTTTTTCAAATTACTTCAAAAACCAAACAAAAGGAGTCCCAGAGATTTTTTCAAAGCTACTTGAAAAACCAAGCAAAAGAAGCCCTGGAGATTTTTTTAAACTACTTCAAAAACCAAACAAGATTTCCCCGAGATTCTATGAAACTACTTCAAAAACCATACGAAAGGGGTCCCCGAGATTCTATGAAACTACTTCAAAAACAATATAAAAGGGGTCCCCCCGATTATTTTCAAATTACTTTGAAAACAAGGCGAGGCATCTCCAGAATTCTATGAAAATACTTCAAAAATATGATAAAAAAGGGGGGGACCTAGAGATTCTTTCAAACTACTTTAAAATCAGAAACAAAAGAAGTCCCGGAGATTGTTTCAAAGCTGGTTCAAAAACAGAACAAAACAGGTCCCGGAGATTCTTTCAAACTACTTTAAAAACCAAACAAAAGGGGTCCCCGAGATTATTTTCAAATTACTTTAAAAACCAGGCGAGGGATCCCCAAAATTCGTCTAAAATACTTCAAGAACAAGATAAAAGGGGTCCCAGAGATTCTTTCAAAGTTACTTCAAAATCAAAACAAAAGAGGTCACGGAGATTCTTTATACCACTTCAAAAACCAAACACAAGTATTTTCCGAGATTCTTTCAAACTACTTCAAAAACAAAGCAAAAGGGATCCCGGAGATTCTTTCAAATTACTTCAAAATCAAAACGAAAAAGCTCCCGGACATTATTTTTAACTGCTTTCAAATCAAAACAAAAGGGGTCCCAGAGATTCTTTTAAACTACTTCAAAATCAAAAGCAATGTGGTCTCCGAGATTCTTTCAAACCACTTCAAAAACAACATAAAAGGGGTCCCGGAGATTTTTTTCAAACTACTTCAAAAACCAAACAAAAAGGGTCCCCGAGATTCTTTTAAACTGTTTCATAATCAAAACAAAAGAGTTCCCCGAATTTTTTTGAAACAACTTCAAAATCAAAACAAAAGGGGTCCCGGAGATTCTTTCAAACTATTTCAAACACCAAACGAAAGAAGTCCCGGAGATTCTTTCAAAGCTACTTCAAAATTAAAACAAAAGGTCGCGGAAATTCTTTCAAACTACTTGAAAAACCAAACAAATGGTCGCCGAGATTCTTTTAAACTACTTCAAAATCAACATAAAAGGGGTGCCGGAGATATATTCAAACTTTGTACTTCAAAAACCAAATAAAAGGGGTCCCCGAGATTATCTTCAAATTACTTTAAAAACAAGGCCAGGAATCCCCAGAATTCTATGAAAATACTTCAAAAATACGATAAAAAGGAGCTCAGATTCTTTCAAACCACTTCAAAAACCAAACATAAACTTCTTTTAAACTACTTCCAAATCAAAACAAAAGAGTTCCCAGAGATTCTTTCAAACTACTTCGGAAACAACACAAAAGGGACCCTGGAGATTCTTTTAAAATAAATCAAAATCAAAAGAAAAAAATTCCGCGAGATTCTTTTAAACTACTTCAAAAACCATACGAAAGGGGTCCCCGAGATTATTTTCAAATTACTTTGAAAACAAGGCGAGGGATCTCCAGAATTCTAAGAAAAAAACTTCAATAATATGTACGGTAAAAAGGGACCTAGAGATTCTTTCAAACTACTTCAAAATCAGAAACAAAAGAAGTCCCGGAGATTATTTCAAAGCTAGTTCAAAATCAAAAGAAAAGGGGTCCCCGAGATTATTTTCAAATTACTTTAAAAACAAGGCGAGGGACCCCCAAAATTCTTTCAAAAAATTCAAGAACAAGATAAAAGGGGTCCCAGAGATTTTTTCAAAGCTACTTTAAAAACATAGCAAAAGAGGTCCTGGAGATTTTTTTATACTACTTTAAAAACCAAACAAAAATGGTCCCCGAGATTCTTTTAAAATACCTCAAAATCAAAACAAAAGATTTTCCCGAGATTCTTTCAAACTACTTCAAAAACCAAACAAAAGGAGTCCCAGAAATTATTTCAAACCTACTTCAAAAACCATACGAAAGGGGTCCCCGAGATTATTTTCAAATTACTTTGAAAACAAGGCGAGGGATCTCCAGAATTCTATGAAAATACTTCAAAAGTACGATAAAAAGGGACCTAGAGATTCTTTCAAACTACTTCAAAGTCAGAAACCAAAGAAGTCCCGGAGATTGTTTCAAAGCTAGTTCAAAATCAAAACAAAAGAGGTGGCGGAGGTTCTTTCAAAGATTTTTTCAAACTACTGCAAAAACAGAATAAAACGTCCCGGGGATTCTTTCAAACTACTTCAAAAACCAAACACAAGGGGTCCCCGATATTATTTTTAAGTTACTTTAAAAACAAGGCAAGGGATCCCCAGAATTTTATGAAAATAATTCAAAAACAAGATAAAAGGGGTTCTAGAGATTCTTTCAAACTACTTCAGAACCAAAACAAAAGAGGCCGCGGAGATTTTTCCAAACTAATTCAAAAACCAAACTGCTTCAAAAACAAAGCAAAAGTCCCATAGATTCTGTCAAATGACTTAAAAATCAAAACAAAAGAAGTCGCAGAGATTCTTTCAAAGCTACTTCAAAAACCAATCAAAAGGGGTCCCGCAGATTATTCTCAAATTATTTAAAAACAAGTCGAGGGATCCCCAAAATTCTATGAAAAACTTAAAAAACAAGATAAAAAGGGTCCAGAGATTTTTTCAAATCAGAACAAAAGAAGGCCTGGAGATTCTTTAAAAACTACTGCAAAATCAAAACAAAAGAAGTCGCGGAGATTCTTTCAAACTTCTTCAAAAACCAAACGAAAAGTGTCCCTGAGATTCTTTTAAACTACTTCAAAATCAAAACAAAAAAGTTTTCAGAGGTTCTTTCAAATACTTGAAAATCAAAACAAAAGGGTACCCAGAGATTCTTTCAAACTACTTCAAAAACAAACCAAAAGGTGTCCCAGAGATTCTTTCAAACTACTTGAAAATCAGAACAAAAGAAGTTCCGGAGATTCTTTCAAATCTACGTCAAAATCAAATCAAAAGAGGTCCCGCAGATTCTTTCAAATTACTTCAAAAACCAAACAAAAAGAGTCCCCGAGATTCTTATAAACTACCTCAAAATCAAAACAAAAGGGGTGCCTGAGATTCTTTTAAACTACTTCAAAATCAAAACGAAAGGAGTCCCAGAGATTTTTTCAAAGCTACTTTAAAAACAAAGCAAAAGAGGTCCTGCAGATTTTTTTAAACTACTTCAAAAACCAAACAAAATGGTCTCCGAGATTCTTTTAAAATACTACAAAATCAAAACAAAAGATTTAGCCAAGATTCTTTTAAACTACTTCAAAATCAAAACGAAAGAGGAGGTTCTTTCAAACTACTTCAAAAACCAAACAAATTAGTCTCGGAGATTCTTTCAAAGCTATTTTAAAAACAAAGCAAAAGAGGTCTGGAGATTTTTTTTTAACTAGTTCAAAAACCAAACAAAAATGGTCCCCGAGATTCTTTTAAAATACTTCAAAATCAAAACGAAAAATTTACGCGAGATTCTTTTAAACTATACTTCAAAATCAAAGGGAAAAAGGAGGTTCTTTCAAACTACTTCAAAAACCATACCAAAGGGATCCCCGAGATTCTTTCAAAACTACTTCAAAAACCAAGCAAAATTAGTCTCAGAGATTCTTTTAAAGCTACTTTAGAAACAAAGCAAAAGAGGTTCTGGAGAGTTTTTAAACTACTTCAAAAACCAAACAAAAATGGTCCCCGAGATTCTTTTAAACTACTTCAAAATCAGAATGAAAGAGTCCACGCCACAGAGGTTCTTTCAAACTACTTCAAAAACCATACGAAAGGGCTCCCCGAGATTTTTTCAAACTACTTCAAAAACCAAACAAAAGAAGTCCCAGAGATTTTTTCAAAGCTACTTTAAAAACCAAGCAAAAGAGGGCCTGGATTTTTTTTAAACTACTACAAAAACCAAACAAAAGATTTCCCTGAGATTCTATGAAACTATTTCAAAAACCATACGAAAGGGGTCCCCGAGATTCTATGAAACTACTTCAAAAACCAAACAAAAGTAGTCCCAGAGATTCATTCAAACTACTTCAAAAACCAAACAAAAGGGGTCCAGGAGATTCTTTCAAACTGCTTCAAAAACCAAACAAAAGGGGTCCCCAAGATTTTTTGAAACTACTGCAAAAACAGAATAAAACGTCCCGGAGATTCTTTCGAACTACTTCAAAAACCAAACACAAGGGGTCCCCGAGATTATTTGCAAATTACTTTAAAAACAAGGCAAGGGATCCCCAGAATTTTATGAAAATAATTCAAAAACAAGGTAAAAGAGGTTCTAGAGATTCTTTCAAACTACTTCAAAATCAGAACAAAATAGGTCGCGGAGATTCTTTCAAACCACTTCAAAAATCAAACAAAAATGTCCCCGAAATTCTTTTAAACTACTTCAATATCAAAACAAAAGAGGTCCCGGAGATTCTTTCAAACTAATTCAAAAACCAGACACAAGGGGTTCTCGAGATTCTTTAAACTACTTCAAAAACCAAACAAGTGTTCCCCGAGATTCTTTCGAACTACTTCAAAAACTAAACAAGAGGGGTCCCCGAGATTCTTACAAATTACTTCAAAAACTAAACGAAAGTGATCCTCGAGATTTTTTCATACTTAAAAAAAAAAGAAATTTTTTCAAATTTAAAATACCAGAGGTAATTTTTTTTTGAACTTTTTAAAAAATAAAGCAGCAGAGGCCTCAAGATTCTGCGATAATATGAAAAAAAAAACACCAAGGGTTGCCGAGATTCTTTTAAACTTAAAAAACACCAGGGATTTTGGAGATTTTTTCGAATTCTTTCCTACAGAAAAAAAAACACTTGAAATCGCCAGGTCCCTTCAAGCTTTTTCAAAGATAAAACTCGGGAACTCTAAGCTTCTTAAAGACAGTATATATGTATTTCGACATTCTTTCAAACTTTTTCAAAATTAAAACACCAAAATCCCAAGCTATTAAAAAAAGACTCCAAGTGTTCTCAAGTTTCTTTTAAACTACTTCAAAAACAAAACGAAAGTGGTCCTGGAGATTCTTTGAAACTACTTTATTTTATTTCTTTTTATTTTCGAGAAAGAAGTCATAATAAAAAAAACACTAGTGTTTTTTGGTATGCTGACCATTATGTTGGTCACACTGCGGTTGCCTAGGTGACGAAATCAATATCGGTGAACGAAACTTGAAACTTTAAAATAGCTATTTAACGAACGAGTTGTTTAATGAAAGCTTTAACAATCGACGCAATTATTAGCTAGCATTAACCAACGTGTTAGTTACAATATTTTTTCAACGACCGAATTCAAAAAAGTAAAAAATAAAAATTAACTAATAGAAAAGTACTTTAAAACTTATTTAATTATTGTTATTATAATAAATTCGTTTTAGGTTCAAAAACTTGCACCTTTTGAAAGACCACGAGCTCTACCACTGGGCCGACCACGTGTACACCTGCAACCACTGCCACTCCGAGCACGTCACCCTCAACGAGCTCTTCCAGCACACCTTCATGTCGCACCCCACCTACGACGTGGACTTCTCCACCAGCGGCCCCTACGTGTCCAAGGTCCTCTTCTTGTTGAAGACCCCGCAGACGACGACGGCGCCGCCGCCGCAGCCCGGCGCCTCCACCGAGGAGGTCCAGTACGCGTGCACCCAGTGCTCGGAGGTGGAGCGCAGCGTCGAGGCGCTCCGCAAGCACGCCAGCGAGTGCCACGAGGGCGAGGAGGCGTCGTACAAGGTCGTGGTCAAGGCCAAGGTCCAAACCATGTTCTGCTGCTCCCACTGCCACGAGCGCGGCCCCGAGAAGGTCCTGCGCGAGCACCACCGCGAGAAGCACGACGCCCTCAAGTTCACCATCTACCAGTACATCTGCCTGGAGTGCTCGGGGACCTTCCTCAACATCAAGGACCTGCGGGCGCACTTCGGGAAGGCGCACAGCGGCAAGAAGCTGACCTACAGCTGCATCGAGAACAAGCCGGGCGGCGCCAAGGAGCAGTTCTGCTGCACCAAGTGCCCGTTCAGGAGCTGCAGCGTCAGCGGCATCCGCGGCCACCTGCGCAAGCACCTGCGGCCCATCGACTGCCTGCTGTGCGGGGCGACGTTCATCTTCCCGACGGAGGCGCGCGCGCACCACAACAAGGAGCACGTGCACAGCGCGGAGCGCGTGGAGGAGAACAAGGACAAGCTGAAGGAGTACGAGGACCTGGTGCAGCAGATCGTGGCGGCGAAGGAGCGCGGGGACACGTCGGCGGCGTTCGCGCCGCCGCCGAGGAAGATGCTGGCGAGGAAGTCGACGGGGGCGCCGTTCGTGAGGGAGTACTCGTTTTACGGGAGTAAAAAGGAGGACGCGGACTTGAAGGGCGTGTCGACGAGTATTGAGGTTAATAAAGTTACGAAGAAGATGAGCGCGGAGCAGTTTAGTAATCTTTTCAATATTTTTCCAGTAGTCGAAGTGAACGATTGTGAGAGTAAGGAGGAGGAGGCCTGACACAAGGTGACCTTGTCTCCGATTGAGTTTAGTGACGGTGACGAAGACTTTTCCATGGAGGACGTGTTTGATGAAATCATCGACCAGATTCCGGATAATGTGATCTTGCAGTTGATGGAGGAGAGTTGACTACCGATGTAGGGTTAAGCGTAGCGATTAGGGCGTGTACATATAGGTTAGGAGAGGTTAGATATTTTATAAGGAGGATTTTTTATTTGATATTTAACGATTAAAAAGCTTTGCGATTACAGAGGAGTGTTTTATTTGGGGCGACAGTTGCAGGTTGACTCGGCTCCTTCGATAAATCGATGACGTCATGGTCGAAAAATGGCGGCATAATTTGTAATCTGCAAATGTTATTGTTTTAATGTAATAAAATAAAGATAAATCGTAAGATTTTTTTGAAATTCTTTTATTAAATAAGGTGTCAGGAGCCCTAAGATTCTTTTCCCAGAATTTTTTTCAATTGGTTGACTCTGTTGAACAAAAATATAAACTTTTCTTGCGCTTATGTTGGCATAACGAAAGTAACTGGGTGACAGATATGTCAATCGTGACATGCGATAAATTTAGGTTATGTTTTGAATACATCTTACAAATTAAAAATGTCAGCAATCTGTCAATCTTGACAGTTGACAGCCAGAAATAATACAAAACACCAATTTCAACTAAAAATCCAGGATTGCCAACAGACTCGAGTCATTTCTGATCACGCGTTGTTAAAAGTGCTGTACAAATGGGCATTAAAGACACAATAGACGTTGAGATTCTTTCAGACTTTCAAAAATAAAACACCAAATGTTCTAAGATTAATATAAAACACTAGAGTTTATGTTTTTAACTTTTTTAAAAATAAAACACCAGAACCCCAAAATTCTTTCATATTATTAAAAAAGACAGCAGGGGTTTCCGAGATTCTTTTAAACCTAGAGAAAACACAAAAGATTCCAAAGAATATGTAGAATTCTTTCAAAAATAAAACACATGTGACCTCAGGATTCTTTCAAACATTTCGTATTAAAAAACACCAGGAATATGAGAGATTTTTTCAATTCAAGTAAAACACTAGATGCTCAAAGATTCTTTTTTATATTCTTAAAAAAAGAACACCAGGAACCCCTGAGATTCTTTCATACTTAAAAAAAGCACCAGGATCCTACATATTATTTCAATGTATGAAACACCAGAGGTCATTGCTTTTAACTTTTTAAAAAATAAAACACCACAAACCCCAAGATTTTTCCATATTATTAAAAAAAGACACTAGGGGTTCCCGAGATTCTTGCAAACTTAAAAAACACCAGAGATTCCGGAGATTTTTTGAATTCTTCACTAAAAAAGCAATTGGCACCCCGATTTTCTTTCAGATTTTTTCAGAAATAAAACTCATGTATTCTAAGATTATTAAAGACACTATAGGCTTAGAGATTCTCTCAAACTTTTTCTAAAATAAAACACCAAAAGCCTTAAGATTCTTTCACATTACAAAAAAAAAGAAACCAAGGTTTCCCGAGATTCTTTTAAACCTAGAGAAAACACAAAGGTTTTCAAAGAATTTGTCGAATTCTTTCAAAAATAAAACACCTTGGATTCCAGGTTTCTCTCAAACATTTCGAAATATAAAACACCTGGAATTTAAGAAATGTATATAAAACTGTTTCAAAAATAAAACACTAGATGCTCAAAGATTCTTTCATATTTACAAAAAGCACCAAGGTTCCACATATTATTTCAAGTATAAAACACCAGAGTTCATTGTTTTCAACTTTTTCAAAAATAAAACACCAGAAACTCCAAGATTCTTCCAAATTATTAATAAAAGCCATCAGGAGACTCGAAATTCTTTCAAACTTAAACAACACCAGGGTTTTCGGAGATTTTTTTCAATTTTTCCCTAAAAAAAACCACTTGGGACCCCGAGCTTCCTTCAACATTTTTTAGACATAAAACTCCCAGACTCTAAGATTCTTAATGACACTATAGGTTCCCAGATTCTTTCAAACTATTTCAAAAATAAAACACCAAAAACTCCAAGAGTTTTTCACATGACAAAAAAAGAAACCAAGGTTTCCCGAGATTATTTTAAACCTAGAGAAAACACAAAGGTTTCCAAAGAATTTGTCGAATTCTGTCATGAATAAAACACCTGGGATCCCAGGATTCTTTCAAATATTTGGAAATATGAAACACCAGGAATTTCAAAGATTTTTTCTAAATTTTTTCAAAAATAAAACACTAGATGCTCAAAGATTATTCCATATTCTTAAAAAAAAAAACATCATTGACCCTTGAGATTCTTTCATATTTAAAAAAACACCAGGCTTCCACAAATTATTTCAAATATAAAACACCAGAGGTCAAAAAGCTCCAATACTTTTTCAAACATAGAGAAAGCACCAATGTTTGCAAAGATTTTGTCGAATTCTTTCAGAAATAAAACACCAAGGATTCTTTCAAACTTCTTCAAGAATAAAACACCAGGAATTTCGGAGATTTTTTTCAAGTTTTTAAAAATGAAACAGCAGAGACTTCCGAGTTTCGTTTACAGTTAGAAAAACACCAAAGATTCCAGAAATTTTTTCGAATATAAAACACCAGAGACTAAAATTCTCAAAGATACAACGAATCTCGCGATTCTTTTAAACTTTTTCAACAATAAAACACTAAAAGCTCCAAGATTCTTTCAAATTTGGAGAAAGCATCAACATTTTCAAATTTTTTAAAAAATAAAACACTAGGAACTGGAGAGTCCCAAAATGATCTTTGGTATTAAAAAAAAAACACCCACACAAGGGATTCTGGAGATTCTTTCATTCTTAAATTATTTTCAAATGCAGGATACCAAAGTCACGGTTCTTGAATTAAGAAAAAATACACAGAAGTCCCAAGGTTTTTGCAAACTTTCTCAAGAGTAAAACACCAGAAGCCACAAGATTCGTTCATTTTACAAAAAAAGGGACAATGGTTTTCCCAGATTCTTTCAAATTTAGAGAAATCACCAAGGTTTGCAAAGATTTGGTCGAATTCTTTCAGAAATAAAACACCAAGGATTCAAGATTCTTTCAAACTTTTTCAAGAATAAAACACCAGGAATTTCGGAGATTTTTTTCAAGTTTTTAAAAAGGAAGCAGCAAAGACTCCCGAGCTTCTTTCAAACTTAAAAAAAAAACACCACGGGTTTTAGAATTTTTTTTTTCAAAAATAAAACACCAAAAGCCCCAAGATTCTTCTAAACTTAGAGAAAGCACCAACATTTTCAAAGTTTTTCTCGACTCCTTTCAAAAATAAAACACCAAGGACGATAAGATTCTTAAAGATACTATGGACTTCGAGATTCTTTCAAACTTTTTCAAAAATAAAACGTCAGGGATCCCAGAATTTTTTCAAACATTTCGAAGTATAAAACACCAGGAATTTTAGAGATTCTTTCAAACTTTTTCATAATTAAAACACCAGAGGCCCCAAGATTCTTTCATTTTACAAAAAAAGGGACCATGGTTTTCCCAGATTCTTTCAAATTTAGAGAAATCACCCAGATTTGCAAAGATTTGGTCAAATTCTTTCAGAAATAAAACACCAAGGACTCAAGATTCTTTCAAACGTTTTCAAGAATAAAACACCAGGAATTTCAGAGATCTTTTTCAAGTTTTTAAAAATGAAGCAGCAAAGACTCCCGAGCTTCTTTCAAACTTAAAAAAAAACACCAAGAGTTTCAGAATTTTTTTCAAAAATAAAACACCAAAAGCCCCAAGATTCTTCTAAACCTAGAGAAAGCACCAACGTTTTCAAAGTTTTTACGAATTCTTTCAAAAATAAAACATCAAGGACCACAAGATTCTTAAAGACACTATGGACTTCGAGATTCTTTCAAACTTTTTCAAAAATAAAACACCAGGGATCCCAGAATTTCTTCAAACATTTCGAGGTATAAAACACCAGGAATTTCAGTGATTCTTTCAAACTTTTTCATAATTAAAACACCAGAGGCCCCAAGATTCTTTCATTTTTACAAAAAAAGGGACCACGGTTTTCCCAGATTCTTTCAAATTTAGAGAAATCACCCAGGTTTGCAAAGATTTGGTCGAATTCTTTCAGAAATAAAATACCAAGGACTCAAGATTCTTTCAAACTTTTTCAAGATTAAAACACCAGGAATTTCAGAGATTTTTTTAAAGTTTTTAAAAAGGAAGCAGCAAAGACTCCCGAGCTTCTTTCAAACTTAAAAAAAAAACACCAAGGGTTTTAGAATTTTTTTTTTCAAAAATAAAACACCAAAAGCCCCAAGATTCTTCTAAACTTAGAGAAAGCACCAACATTTTCAAAGTTTTTCTCGACTCCTTTCAAAAATAAAACACCAAGGACCATAAGATTCTTAAAGACCCTATGGACTTCGAGATTCTTTCAAACTTTTTCAAAAATAAAACACCAAAAACCCCAAGATTCTTCTAAAGTAAGAGAAAGCACCAACGTTTTCAAAGTTTTTTCGAATTCTTTCAAAAATAAAACACCAAGGACCACAAGATTCTTAAAGACACTATGGACTTCGAGATTCTTTCAAACTTTTCCAAAAATAAAACACCATGGATCCCAGAATTTCTTCAAACATTTCGAGGTATAAAACACCAGGAATTTCAGAGATTCTTTCAAACTTTTTCATAATTAAAACACCAAAGGCCCCAAGATTCTTTCATTTTACAAAAAAAAGGGACCACGGTTTTCCCAGATTCTTTCAAATTTAGAGAAATCACCCAGGTTTGCAAAGATTTGGTCGAATTCTTTCAGAAATAAAACACCAAGGACTCAAGATTCTTTCAAACTTTTTCAAGAATAAAACACCAGGAATTTCGGAGATTTTTCTCAAGTTTTTAAAAATGAAGCAGCAAAGACTCCCGAGCTTCTTTCAAACTTAAAAAAACACCAAGGGTTTTAGATTTTTTTTTCAAAAATAAAACACCAAAAGCCCGAAGATTCTTCTAAACTTAGAGAAAGCACCAACGTTTTCAAAGTTTTTTCGAATTCTTTCAAAAATAAAACACCAAGGACCACACGATTCTTAAAGACACTATGGACTTCGAGATTCTTTCAAACTTTTTCAAAAATAAAATACCAGAGATCCCAGATTTTTTATAAAACAGCAGGAATTTCAGAGATTCTTTCAAACTTTTTCATAATTAAAACACCAGAGGCCCCAAGATTCTTTCATTTTACAAAAAAAGGGATCACGGTTGTCCCAGATTCTTTCAAATTTAGAGAAATCACCCAGGTTTGCAAAGATTTGGTCGAATTCTTTCAGAAATAAAACACCAAGGACTCAAGATTCTTTCAAACTTTTTCAAGAATAAAACACCAGGAATTTAGGAGATTTTTTTCAAGTTTTTAAAAAAGAAGCAGCAAAGACTCCCGAGTTTCTTTCAAACTTAAAAAAAACATCAAGGGTTCCAGAATTTTTTTCAAAAATAAAACACCGAAAACCCTAAGATTCTTCTAAACTTAGAGAAAGCACCAATATTTTTAAAGTTTTTTCGAATTCTTTCAAAAATAAAACACCAAGGACATAAGATTTTTAAAGACACTATGGACTTCGAGATTCTTTCAAACTTTTTCAAAAATAAAACACTAGGGATCCCAGAATTTCTTCAAACATTTCGAGGTATAAAACACCATGAATTTTAGAGATTCTTTCAAGTTTTTTCATAATTAAATCCCCAAAGCCTCAAGATTCTTTCATAATACAAAAAATAGCAACGGTTTACCGAGATTCTTTCAAACTTAGAGAAAGCACCAATGTTTCCAAAAATTTTTTTTTAATTCTTTCAAAAATAAAACACCAGGGACCACAAGATTGTTTCTAACTTTTTCAAGAATATTGCCCCAGAAATTTCAGAAATTCCTTTCAAACTTTTGTAAAAATAAAGCACCAGGGGCCCAGAAATTTTTTGCTATATAAAACATCAAACGCTATGATTCTTTCATTAAAAAAAAAACATAAATGTCACCGAGGATTATGGAGATTTTTTCAAATTCTTTAACAAAAAAACACTCTGACTACCAGATTCCTGCAACCATTGTCAAGAATAAAACATCTGAGATTGTAACATTCTTAAAGACACTAAGATTCTTTCAAACTTTTTAAAAACTAAAACATCAAAAATCCCAAGATTCTTTCAGAATACAAAAAAACAAGGTTTCCCGAGATTCTTTGATTCTAGAGAAAACACTAAGATTTCCAAAGATTTTGTAGAATTCTTTCAAAAAATCAAACACCACGGATCCCAGGTTTCTTTCAAATATTTCGAATTATAAAACACCAGCAAATTCAAGAGATTTTTTTCAAATATAAAACACCAGATGCTCCAAGATGCTCTCATATTCTTAAAAAAAAGAACACCAGGGACCTCTGAGATTCTTTCATACTGTAAAAAAGCACTAGAATTTCCACAAACCTAGAGAAAACACCAAGATTTCCAAAGATTTTGTCGAATTCTTTCAAAAATAAAACGCCACGGACTCCAGGATTCTTTCAAATATTTCGAAGTATAAAACACCAGGAATTTCAGAGCTTTTTTCAAACTTTTTCAAAAATAAAGCCCCATATGTTCTAAGATTCTATCATTTTCTTAAAAAAAAGAACACCAAGGACCCGTGAGATTTTAACAAACTTAAAAAAAAACACCAACGGTTCCAGAGATGTTTTCAAATATAAAACACAGAGACTCTAAGATTCTTAAAAACATATGGACTTCGAAATTCTTTCAAACTTTCCAAAACTAAATAAAACACCAAAAGCCCCAAGATTCTTTTATATCACAAAAAGGTGACCGAGGTTTCCCGAGATTCTTTTAAACCTACAGAAAACACCAAGATTTCCAAAGATTTTATCGAATTCTTTCAAAAATAAAACGCCACGCACTCCAGGATTCTTTCAAATATTTCGAAGTATAAAACACCAGGAATTTCAGAGATTTTTTTCAAACTTTTTCAAAAATAAAGCCCCATATGTTCTAAGATTTTTTCATGTTCTTAAAAATAAAGAACACCAAGGACCTGGGAGATTTTATCAAACTTAAAAAAAAGCACCTACGATTGCAGAGATATTTTCAAATATAAAACACCAAATGCCATGATTCTTTCATTAAGCAAAAAAAAAGAACACTGTGAGTCTCGTGATAGTTTCAAATTTTTTCAAAAATAAGAGAGCCGAAATCTCAAAATTCGTTCATATTCTTAAAAAAAAATAACATCAAGGACCCCTGAGATTCTATCAAATTTAAAAAAGCATGCAGTCAGTCCACTAGCTTCAAGAATGTCTAATAAAATCGCCAACATACCGAAACGGGAGACCTACTTTTTCATACTCTAGGGGTTACGAAACGTCGAAAAAACATACTTTCTTACAACACTTCATACTTCCCTAGTTTCCCCTCGATCAGTAAAAAACGCACTCAATCTCCTTATAATTACTTTATTGTTTTCAACAATGACATGATATATCCCAATTCTTTGATATGTCTGACAAAATATAGGTCGTATAATACTACAAAAAGGGTCTTCATTGCATCGTTATGTACATCGGTTAGTAAAAATATTTAGTGCTACGAGTAACAAATATAGGTAGAATCACCATCTAACATACATCCTACAAAGAATACACGTTTAGTAAGAAAAACCTTTCAAATATAATAGCAATATTTTAATCCTTTAAATATAATATTGGTCAGCCATCGACACACGTCTAAACGAATTCCTTTTTACGAAACATTTTGATTACTCCTACACAGTCTGTTCCGAGCTCTGCGTCGCTGCGGCCGGGTGACTGTGACTGTGACTGTGCTGGTGGTGGGCTGAAGCGCGTCTCAGACGAAGATGAAGGCAGATTCGGCTTTGCAACTCCTGTCCGTGCACGACCGGTCCGGCTCGGCGGCGGCGCGCAGCCACTTGCCGTGGCAGTGGGGCGCCGACAGGGCCGAAAAGCGGGTGATGCGGCCCTGCACGCCGTGGCCCTGGCACCGCCAGCCGAGGGTCTGGTGGAGGGCCTCGGACTCGCAGCGGACGCACACGCGGTCGCCTGCGGAAAAGCGGGGGTGAAGTGAGCTTAAACGAGGCAGGGGCGGACTTACCCTCTTTTAGAGCGCTGTAGTTTGGTTCTTTTCGGCAGGCTTTCGACGCTTTGAGGATCTCGAACGAGACGCAGTACCTGAAAAAAGGGAAAAATTAGTACAAAAATGGAAAAAGTGAAAGAGGCTCTAGCGATTTTTGAAGCGGCTCTATATACTAAAACGCCTCTACTTTTGTAAATATGAAGTATTGAAATCCTTTACGATTGAGTATTAGCTAAAATGGCCTTAATGAATTTTTGAAACGCCTCTATATGTAAAAATTTTGCTAAAATTAAAATAAAAAAATATAAATAACATCGGTTTAATATTTAAAATAAGAGTGAACAATATTAAGGGTAGTAGAAAACAGCTAAAGTCAACCCCGCCCACGTCCTTTCGCCATTTCACTGACTTATTTTATTTACTGTAAAATATTAATTGAATTCAATTTTGACAAGTGGTAGAATTTAAGATTTAAAACAACGTCAAAAGTGGACACACCCACCCACCCCTATTCCATTTTGATTACTCAGTTTATTGGTGCTGAGACGGAAGTTGGATTCTATATTTATAAATATAGAATCTAGGATAATATGTTTCTAATTATATTTTTACTAAAGAGGGGGTGGGTGGGTGGCGCTATTGCTTGCTTCAAAGACTCTGTAGGACAAAGTTAAATTTAGCCCCGCTCACCCACCCGTCCGTCCTCACATTATTTTCTTGTGAAATAAGAAATAAATCTCTGCAATTAGCATAAGAAAAAAATACGATTCGTGCTTTTTTCTATTAGTTCCCATTCTCATTCTACAGAAGATCATATAATTAACCCCGCCCACCCACCCCAACTCCAGTCCAGTGATTCATTTTGTCTGCTTACAATGAAAGGCGGATCTTATACTGATCAAAAATAAAATCGTTAGAATGAGAACAGCGCGGGTGGGCGGGGCTAGAATCTGCTAAGGCAAAACTGATTTTGGTAAGTGGGATGTCGTCCAAGAATAGTAGAGGGTGGGTGGGTGGGGCTAGTTCTTTAGAAGGTAAGAATAATTTTGGCAGATGACATATCCTCTAAGAAAATAGAGGGTGGGTGGGCGGGGCTAGTTCTTGGTAAGATAAGAATAATTTTGCCAAATGACATATCCTCTAAGAAAATTAACAGCGGACGGACAATGCTACTATTTAAAATAAGACTGAACAATAGTAGGAGTGGTTACTAGAATAAAGAGCGTGGGGGCGGAGCTACTGCTTGTTTATAAGTTATAAGACTGCAGAAAACAACTAAAGTCAACCCAGCCCACGTCCTTTCGCCATTTCACTGACTTATTTTGTTTACTTGAATTCAATTTTGAAAAATGCACCGCCCACCCACCCCTATTCCATTTTGATCACTCAGTGTATTGGTGCTAAGACGGAAGTTGGATTCTATATTTATAAATATGGAATCTAGGATAATATGTTTCTAATTATATTTTTACTAAAGAGCGGGTGGGTGGGTGGGGCTATTGCTTGCTTCAAAGTCTCTGTAGGACAAAGTTAAACTTAGCCCCGCCCACCCACCCGTCCGTCCTCCCATTATTTTCTTCTGAAATAAGAAATAAATCTGTGGAATTGGCATAACAAAAAAAAATACGATTCGTGCTTTTTTCTATTAGTTCCGATTTCCATTCTACAGAAGATCATATAATTAACCCCGCCCACCCACCCCAACTCCAGTCCAATGATTGATTTTATCTGATCACAATGAAAGGCGGATCTTAAACTGAACAATAATAAAATCGTTAGAATGAGAACAGGGCGGGTAGGCGGGGCTAGAATCTGCTAAGACAAAGCTGCTTTTGGCAAGTGAGATATCGTCCAAGAATAGTAGAGGGTGGGTGGGCGGGGCTAGTTCTTGGTAATATAAGAATAATTTTGGCAAATCACATATCCTCTAAAAAAATAGAGGGCGGGTGGGCGGGGCTAGTTCTTGGTAAGATAAGAATAATTTTGGTAAATCACATATCCTCTAAGAAAATAGAGGGCGGTTGGGTGGGGCTACTGTTTGCTTCAAAGAATCTATAGGACAAAGTTAAACTTAGCCCCACCCGCCCACCCGGTCGTCCTCACATTATATTTTTCCGAAACAAGAAATAAATCTCCTTAATTAGTATAACAAAAAAATTATGATTCGTGCATTTTTCTATTAGTTCCCATTCCCATTCTACAGAAGATCATATAATTGACACAGCCCACCCACCCCAACTCCAGTCCAATGATTGCTTTTATCTGATCACAATGAAAGGCGGATCTTATACTGAACAAATATAAAATCGTTAGAATGAGAACAGCGCGGGTGGGCGGGGCTAGAATCTGCTAAGACAAAACTGATTTTGGCAAGTGGGATGTCCTCCAAGAATAGTAGAGGGCGGGCGGGCGGGGCTAATTCTTGATAATATAAGAATAATTTTGGCAGATGACATATCCCCTAACAAAATAGAGGGCGGGTGGGCGGGGCTACTGTTCGCTTCAAGGCTCTGTAGGACAAAGTTAAACTTAGCCCCGCCCATCCAACCGTCCTCACATTATTTTCTTCTGAAATAAGAAATAAATCTCTGCGATTAGGATAACAAAAAATTACGACTCCTGGTTTTTCTATTAGTTCCCATTCCCACTCTACAGAAGATCATATAATTAAGCCCGCCCACCCACCCCAACTCCAGTCCAGTGATTCATTTTATCTGCTCACAATGAAAGGCGGATCATAAGATCTATCTAAGATTTATTGTTGTTCAGTATAAACTGAACAACAATAAAATCGTTAGAATGAGAACAGGGCGGGTAGGCGGGGCTAGAATCTGCTGAGACAAAACTGATTTTGGCAAGTGAGATGTCTTCCAAGAATAGTAGAGGGCGGGTGGGCGGGGCTAGTTCTTGGCAAGATAAGAATAATTTTGGCAGATGACATATCTTCTAAGAAAATAGAGGGTGGGTGGGCGGGCCTAGTTCTTGTTAAGTTAATAATGATTTTGGCAGATGACATTTCCTCTAAGAAAATAGAGGGCGGGTGGGTGGGTCTATTTCTTGGTATGAGAAGAATAATTTTGGGAAATGACATATCCTCTAAGAACTAGGGGACAGGTGGGTGGTGCTACTACTTGCTTATAAGACTCTGTAGAACAAAGTTAAACTTAGCCCCTCCCACTCTATTTTCTTAGAGGATATGCCATCTGCCAAAATGGTTCTTACCTTACCAAGAACTAGCCCCGCCCGCCCGCCCTCTAATATTCTTGGAGGACATCTCACTTGCCAAAATCAGTTTTGTCTGAGCAGATTCTAGCCCCGCCCATCCACGCTGTGCATTCTAACGATTTTATTATTGTTTAGTATAAGATCCGCCTTTCATTGTGACCAGATAAAATTAATCACTGGACTGGAGTTAGGGTGGGTGGGCGGGGTTAATTATATGATCTTCTGTAGAATGGGAATAAGAACTAATAGAAAAAAGCACGAATCGTATTTTTTTCTCATGCTAATTGCAGAGATTTGTTTCTTATTTCATAAGAAAACTATGTGAGGACGGACGGGTGGGTGGGTGGGGCTAAGTGTAACTTTGTCCTACCGAGTCTCTGAAGCAAGCAATGGCCCCACCCACCCACCCCCTCCTCATTCTTGTGATCATTCTTAATACTGTTAATTACTGACAACATTATTATTTTATTAGAATTTTTAACTTTATATGTTTTTTGTTACTTAAGTGTAGAAGCTGATTGGTCGTTTTTCGAAAAAATTAAAATTTAGTAAATACATAATTTAAAACATTTTATTCTAGGTTCTATATTTATCAATATAGAACCCAACTTCCGTCTCAGCACCAATAAACTGAGTGATCAAAATGGCATAGGGGTGGGTGGGCGGAACCACTTTTGACTTTGTTTTAAATCTTAAATTCTACCACTTGTCAAAATTGAATTCAATTTCTATTTTACAGTAAATAAAATAAGTCAGTGAAATGGCGAAAGGACGTGGGCGGGGTTGACTTTAGCTGTTTTCTACAGTCTTATAACTTATAAGCAAGCAGTGCCCCCCGCCCCCCGCCCTCTTCCTTTTAGTAAATACTCTTAATATATATTTTTTTTTTGTTAGAGGGTATATTATCTGCCAAAATTATTCTTATCTTACCACGAACTAGCCCCGCCCACCCGCCCTCTATTTTCTTAGAGGATATGTCATCTGCCAAAATTATTCTTATCTTACCAAGAACTAGCCCCACCCACCCACCCTCCCTGCTCACATTATTTTCTTCTGAAATAAGAAATAAATCTGTGCCATTAGCATATCAAAAAAATACGATTCGTGCTTTCTTCTATTAGTTCCAATTCTCATTCTACCGAAGATCATATAATTAACCCCGCCCACTCACCCCAACTCCAGTCCAGTGATTCATTTTATCTGACCACATTGAAAGGCGAATCTTATAATGATCAAAAATAAAATAGTCAGAATTAGACCAGCGCCGGTGGGTGGGGCTAGAATCTGCTAAGACAAAACTGATTTTGGCAAGTGGGATGTCCTCCAAGAATAGTAGAGGGCGGGTGGGCGGGGCTAATTTTTGGTAAGATAAGAATAATTTGGCAAATGACATATCCTCTAAGAAAATAGAGGGCGAGTGGGCGGGGCTAGGGCCTGTTAAGACTGATTTTGGAAAATGACATTCTCTAAGAAAAGAGTGGGTGGGTGGGCGGAGCTAGTACTGGCTTAGATACTAATCCAATAAAATTGAAAAAATTGAAAATGCCTCTAGCGAACTTTGAAACGGCTATGTTCAGGATAACATTAAAAAATGCCTTGATTTTTTCTAACAAACAAACAATTACGACAAAAGTATCCTTTTTACATGGAATTATAAAATTTCTAGTTTTTCGTTTCGTAAAAATTAGAAACTCCACCAACCAAGTGGTCCAGCGTAAATAAAGAATACATTTTTAAAATTTTATACATGGAGAGGTGTTTTAGAGCTCAATAGTTTTATATTCCCCTGTAATTGGGCCTTGGTGCCTGTTGGGGGACGTAATTGAATAAAATAAAATAAAAATAAAATAAATAAAATAACTTAGTATTC